TAGAATTGTAAATGGGCTGATTCATGTCATGCTCATAACTGTGCCTGAACTGCAACAGGGAACTGCTGTTTTTTCTTTCCTAATCCTTACTGTCGTCAGTTTTCCTTTACTTCTTTTGTATGTTTATCACTCTCTTGTGACCCGCTGTTTCCGGGGTGCCTTGATAGTCGAAGCAGACTTTGTGTTGTTGAGGCTAGAGAGGTGAGCAGAGTAAGTCTGATTCCCTGTAAGGACTTCTCTGTTGACTCTCACCCTTTGGCGCTCATATGACCTTATGCAGTTGCGAGGGCCGTAAAACCCTCTACTAAAACTAAACAGAGAGAGCCGTGGTTAAGCACTGTGTGAACATCCCTGCGACAACTGACTACCATAGAGCTTGGGGAGTAGAGCTGGGCGAAGAATCGATTCCGGAACCGATTCCCACGATGAATGTTACGAAAGAAAAGTTCCGACTCCCTTTTATGTAAACCAACGGTTTCCAGTTACTTTGATCATTAGAATCTTTTTGTTTTAGAATTTGTTTTTGAAAAATAAAAGTTGATGCTTCGTAGTGTTCCGAAATCAAGGTTCTCCTAAATCTTAAAGATGTTAGGACCCAACCAGATAACCATCTGAAGAAGTCGCATCTTTAGAAAGTGAGTCATTGGGTTCGGAGTCGATTCCTACGATTCCTAGCTTTCAATAATCGGGAACCTAGCCGCCCAGCGCTATTGGGGAGAACGCGGCTCGTACCTGTGCCCTCCCTCTGTTCCCTGTGTGGGTGGTTGACGGGTGCTCTGGTGGGATTTGCTTCTTCTTTCTTATCAAACATCTATCGTCCTGATTTCCCCTTCTTCTTTTTTATGTTTGTTATTCTCTTGTAACACCTCTATAATCTTCTGGCGCTCATAATATGACCTTATGCAGTTGCAAGCGCCGAAAAACCTCAACTACTAAAACTAAAAGTAAACTGTGTTCCTTGTATCCCTGTGTCCGTCTCCCCCTCTCCCTGTGTTCCCTGTATCCCTCTATCCCTGTATCCCTCTACTCCCTGTATCCCTGTATCCCTGTATCCCTCTACTCCCTGTATCCCTAGCCTGTATCCCTCTGCTCCCTGTGTCCCTCTATCCCCGTATCGGTCCCCCCCCCCCCTTGTATCCGTCTGCTCCCTGTACCCCTCTGCTCCGTGTATCCCTGTATCCCTGTATCCCTCTACTCCCTGTATCCCTGTATCCCTCTACTCCCTGTATCCCTAGACTCCCTGTATCCCTCTCCTCCCTGTATCCCTGTATCCCTCTGCTCCCTGTACCCCTCTATCCCTGTATCT